TAAAAAAAGCGAAATAAAAAGTTACATTAGACTAAACTCGCTTCAATTTGATGTGGAAATACAAATGAAGATGAAACTTGACAAAAAATAAAACAATAAAGTTATGTATATCTTACTAGTAAATCAATTGATCACGCACAAGAAACAAAATGCTGGTAAAACAATGGAGCAAATAAATGAGCGTGAAAAAGGGAAGAAAAAAATGAATCATTAAAAGATGTAATTATAATTGTAAACATTATCTCGAAAAGAAACGGGAAAAGTCGAAATGTTACCATTACCATTGGAAATGTTCAGCTAACTGAAAATGTTATTAAGTGGCAGAAAAGTTATTAACAATTCGTCAACATGAATATGTAATGATGATATTAAAGTCTGTGAGTGAAGATCAATATAAGACAGTCTTACTCGTCTTTACTTGCATGAAGAAAAATTTTGCAACAATTTTTTCGATTTTCTGGAAATCTAACGATTGCCGATGAAAACCATCAATAGTTAAATGATATTAACTTGATATTCACCATTTTATGATGATTGGTCACAGTTTCACGATTCATGGTTTCATGTTTATTCATGTTTTCCTCAACTTGTTGCTATGGCCAACTTGAAGATTTTTATTGAGTAATTTCTATCGCTCTAGGCTATTTACTCTATCGTGTTATTCATTGAAAAATTTTATGCTCGGTTTCTCCAACAAATGCGCGTGCAAGTTTGATGGTCAACTTGAACGCAATTATCGTATTAATAAGCTCATCTGATTGTCAATTGAACTTTTTTATCAACGATTCAGTTGTCATCTTATTAATCTTAATGGTCATGAGTATGATACCATCGTCCTGATTAGGAATGAAATTGGTGTGTTTCCTTGAGATTTCAATGATTCTTTCTATTCTCATTGTTCCGAATCACCGACCAATTTGTCACAATTATTCACAATTTGCTCGAATTGTTTTCTTTATTTTGCATAAGTTGGCCATTTTACGTTACGATATTGATCAATTAATTTAATTTTAGCGTTTCGATAAAAAAGATTGATCATTTTTGAGCACTTAATTGAGACGAATAATCAAGTTGTAATCATCTGAAACAACTTAATCAGAATCTAGTGTTGAGCTTTTCATAAGCAATTTATTGTTCATCTTAAGTTGAATCTGAATATAAATTGGTCTCATTACTTTTACAATAAACAATGTCAATAAAAAAGAAAAGGTCAATAAATATAACCTAAGGGTTAACGGGATAAATAACTTTTCTTGTTCCTTTTACCTTTTCTTTTGTCTCACCTCATAATTTTGATACAAATAACTGCAACGATTAATTGTTGTTAATGGCAAGCCTGTTGTCCAGAATAGCAATGTGATTGGATGATAAATAAGATGAAAATAGAGACAAAAGGTCAACTTGATCAATTTATTACGCAAAATGAGGAGAAAACAAATCAAGATTAATTCACATGATCTTTAGTTTCCTTCCGTACTCAAACGATTGATCAAGTTTCAATCAATTAGCATCAAATTATACCTTCTATTGATTTAGTCTAATCTTATGTTGATTAACATTGGATAAACCCAAAGTTCTTTGTGGCTTTTCTCTAGATTCATTTCCATGGTCAATGTGAATTCATTGTTAAATGAATTAATTCAAAAATAGTGACAACTAGAGATTCCAAGTTTTTCATTGGCAGTCTATTGCAGTCTATTGCAATCTTTAATGCAATTGTCTGTCTCACGCGTCAAGCTGAAGCTGAGTCAAGTTATGAGTCTATGACGGCTGTCAAGATCAACCAGGTAATCAATTTCCAGAGAAAAGCTTCTCCAGATAAACTACTAGCCAAAACCGGTTCACGAATAATGAACCTCTATCAAGCATAATCTTGATCAGACTGACACTATCAGCTCATCAGTATGAATATTGATGTGCTTGTGAGTAACCTGACGAAATTGGTGTCTCACTGAATTAAATGTAGATTGACAAAGCTGTGAAAAAAGATGTTGCATTTAAACCAATAAAGTTGGCTAAGGATAACAACTTGAAAAACTTTGGATGCTGTAAAAAAGAACAGCAATTTTTCTTCTGTTCTAACTTTTTCTCATCATATTTTATTCTAGCAAATATTTTTTTCTCATTTTTGTTTCTCTTTTTTTGCACCTTCTTTTCACTTTTATTGTCAACTAAAGAAAATTACCTTCCCATGTTAGAATCATCTTTTGGATTGAGTTTAGAGTAGGAAAATATTTCCTTCCCTTTAACTCCAAAACTTTCATGGAAGATAAAACTTCTCGCCTCAATGAAATGTTATCTTCACAGGGATGAGTGAAAATGAAGGATAAATTTTCTCTTCCAGAGTCTCAGTTTTTCTCTCATTCTCTTGACCTACCAATGCAACTATCAATCTGATATTGTTTAGGTTTTCCTGAAGAGAAGAGGGAAGAAAAACGAAGAAAATTTCAACTCGCAACTTTCTCAATATACATCAATACTAGGCCCGATGAGTTTCACATAATTTACAGTTCATTGAATTCAATATAATTCAAGAAAAAAGACAAATTTTGTTGATCATCTTGAAAACTGAGAAAACCTTTTCAAGCCAATCAGTTTCAAAATTTTGTCATTTCCATTCATGAGAAGAAGATTGCAGACTGACCTCCACGTGAATCAACGTGAAACGTTAACCTTAATCTAAATTTGTAGACTCAATTTGAGATGAAAAATGACTAAATTGATACAAGATTGACGAAATAGTGTAAACTGATCGATGCATTTGCTGAGATATTTCATTATCTTGAGCAGACAGAGACCACTGGATATTGACTCGAGTTTCAACCTAAAGCCTTGCAGCTTCAGCATTAGATTTCATTGGTAAGAGCTACTTACGTTTGATTAAATACAATCCTTCAAGCACCAATAGTTTGATCGAAAAGGTTCATATTGTTATGGAAGAATAGATTCACGTCTTCAGTTCGAAAAGTTTTTCTCCTCATTTTCCACATCACATTCACCCAATATGGAACTAAGTAGGATATAAAAATGCACTGATTAACTGTAAATCACCAGTCAACCATAATTATCGCTTTCTTTCACTTGGAATCAAGTTTCTTAAACAAAACTTCAGAACATTTGTTTTCGGACAACTCTTACAAGCTTTAATTTGCCAAATTAGTCGGTCATTTTTGAGAGTCATCATGGATCGAAAACTCTCAAGATAACTTCTAGATCGATTATTGCTATTGATCTACTGTAGCCAATATTCAATGTAATTCTTCTGATTAATCAATAAATTTCAATTCTTCTGCAAATTCTTAACAAATATCAGAGAAAAGTATTCAACAAAAGTTTTCGAAAATTGATGACAAAAAGTCGATAAACTTTGAAAACTTAACAGTCAGCAACGAATTGATTAAAAGAATAATTTTACCCCAAAATATTTTCATCTCGAAAAGAATAGAATCAAACAAATCTAAGTGTTTGAATTGTTGTATTAATGATCGATATTGATAAAGAAATGATTATTACTTTTCCATGTTAGGATTAATCATAATCAAGCTGAAACAGTCTTCAGAGTTTAATCAGATCATTGGAACATATTTTAATGGGCAAAAAGTAAATTGAAAGTGAATGTTAACCCGATAAAGTTTCACTTGCATGTGAACCAGCAAATGAAATTCAAACAATTTTTCGTTTGACCCTTGATTTGTATTGTAATGATGGCTGATTATTCAGTAGCATTGCCTGAGCGTGAGCTTATGCTAATTAGATAACTTGAAAAAGGGAAAAACAAAGTTTGGACTTGAACGAAAAGAAGAACAAGAAGAAATGCTAATAAAATAAGAAGGTAAAAATTGGGAATATTTTATTTTCTTTTCTTCTCATTTATTCCTTGCTCTTGAACAATTTATTTCTTCACTTATTTTTTTCTCTCAAGATTAATTCTTCTCAAGATGAAGAAAAACTCTTTATTCTGTATTTTTATTTCTTGCTATTCGTTGCTTTGCCTTTTCCCTTCCCTGTTCGTTTCGTCCCAAAAAGCAAACTACAATCCTTGCGGATTATATTATCTCATCACTCGGCGTAAAAAGATGTTGAAGAATGAAAAAAAACTTATCTTTACTCTCTTCCTCTTGATCAATGAAAGATAATGTTGATAAAAGTTACCCAAAGCTTATCTTTTCTGGTTCCATAAGCTCAATAATGATAACAATAACAATGATAAAGAATAATAATATTTGATCATTTGGCCGATAAAACTGTGCCTGGCTTTTAATTTACCCATTCTGTATTCACCAAGAATTGCGTATAAATGAGAAAAACTATTTCTCCAAAATCGACTTTCCAATAAAGTTTGAAGAAAAGAAAACAGAATTTTTTTCTCCTTTAAAACAATCATTATTAATGAAACGAATCAGAGAGAAACGCAACGAAATGTTCGAGTTTGGAAGAAGGCGAAAAATGCTTCAATATCATTCCCTGTTATCTGAAACTTTTCAAGGAATGCCACTTTTCTCTCCATTGAAACTATTGAACCAAATCATGATAAACTCTTATTTTTCATTCTCGCTCAACTTAATCACTATCAAATTACTTTTCTTCAATGGCCAGTTTCTGATTTTTTTTCTCGTTTTCATTTGTAAACTTTTTTCTCTTGTTTCATGAGAGAAAACTTTTTTTTCCCTTTCAATTATCATTCGATTTTGTTGATTTTGCAATTGAAAAGTTCAATTAAAAGGTGACTTGAAAAGTGCAACTTGCATTTTCCAAATCAATAAACAGAAGCTGAATTTGGATGAAAAGAATCCCAGGATTGCTTTTAATCAGAAACAAGTTGAAACCATATTCACACTTATATAAACGATAATCAATCAATCAAATGATTTATCACTTTGTCTGTTTACTTGCCTATTCACCTTATGAGCTTGAAAAAGGCAAAGTTGAACTTGTTTCCATTGTAACAATTCTAATTTTTTCTTCTCGTTCTTTTCATTCCTTTTTTCTGTCCCATTCAGTTCCACCTAGAAATATGCTAATTATGGATCAAGATGGTCAAATACTCAAAGGTCTTGCTGGACCTTTTAATGAAGCCTCTTCCCTGGCTTTAACCTGTCAAACAATGGGAGGTAAGTTGATCAATTACGGTTACTTTTGTTTTCGCCTGAAAACCGAAATGTCTTTTGTCTTCTTTCCTTTTTCTTCTTCTTCTTCTTCTTCTTCATGGTTACACCAAACCAATGAAAATCAATTTCCAATTGAAGGGTCACAATGTGTTGACCTGATAACTCAATAATGTCTGAAAAATTTCATTTCCATTTCTTTTCTCTGCTCTGATTAATTGATGATGAAAAGAAAAAAAAATAAAAGGCAAATTATCATGCAATGAAAATTTATCCTTTTTCTGTTCTTCTTCATTTCATGATTTATTATTCAAGAAGGAGAAAAAAGAGAAGAAAAAAAAACAATTTTCGTTTCAATAGTAAATTATCATTCAAATGTTTATTACTTTATTCTCATCATTGAATAGATTTTGTTTACTATCTTTATAACTCCATTGATGGCACAACATTTATAAATAATATTATAATAGCAACTCTACTTTGAATAAAACATTTGCAAGTAAAGCATTAAATTGGATAAAATCAATTGTATTCACTTAAATTTTTAATTTTGTTGAAACAGTTTCGATTAGATAATCAATGAATTTACAGTTTATCGAGTTGGAAAGGAAAACTGAAAATTGATTCCAATTTTGATTTTTCCATTTCAGGTCGTCCACTTCCTCAACTTTCCTGGTGGTCCAACGGTCATCTCATTGATAATAGTTCAAATCAACCCGCTTATGGAACCATTCGTAACACAATTAAATTATCTTCCCTCAACAGAAGTGACCTCTACAAAAGTCTAGAATGTAAAGCTTTAACTGTAAACCAAACCGTCCTCATGTCCAAATCGATAACTTTAGATTTAAATTGTAAGAAGTTTTGTCTTTTTTCTCGTTTCAATGGATTTTGTTGAAACTAATTTTTTGTCTCTTTTTACTCGAATGGTGCTTGCAGTGAAACCGTTGGATGTCCGATTAGTCAAGTTGACTAAACCCCTTTCCTCGGGAACCAAAGCTGAACTAGAGTGCCTTACTTATGGTTCAAAGCCTGAAGCTCAGTTGACTTGGTGGAAGGGCCACAAAAGGTTGACCAATGCTCGGGCAATGGTTACAACAGATACTAATGTTACCATAAGTAGGTTGTCTTTCATTGCCACAACTGAAGATAATGGTAAATACATTTCATGTCGAGCCGAGAATCCGGCGTTCAACAGTACTTTACTGGAAGATGGATTCCATTTGACTGTTCATTGTGAGTTTGACCACTTTTCACTAATCACATTTGTTGGTCACTTTATAATGCATTTGTTTTTCGCTGTTTTGCACTTGAACAGATTTACCTCAGTTAACAATCAATTTAGGTGCCAATATTAAAAGAGATTCAATTCGAGAAGAGAATGACGTTTTTTTAGAATGCTCAGTCAAATCGAATCCACCCGTTGATGAGATTATCTGGACCTTTGAAGGTGAAACATTGAGAAGCAATATAAGCCTTGGAATTATTGCTTCCAACCAATCACTCGTCATTCAAAAGGTTAAACGGGCACATCGAGGCTACTATCGTTGCATTGCCCGTAATGCTCAAGGCCAGTCTACAAGTGATCCTTTTTTTCTTCGCGTTAAATGTAAGTACTTTCAACTCTTTGATCTTGAAATTAAACTCGACATTATTGATGAATGCTCTATGCTAATGATTCGATCTACAGTCGATTTTCTCGTTGCAATTTAAAGTCTTCACCCAACCAAAAGTTTCTTTTCACGTTACAATAGAAAGCTTTGAAATGCAGTTTATTGTTCATGTACTTTGAAGCCATGTCCCTGATATTCACCAAAAAAATTAGATAATTTTAATCGAATCATTTTCCAACCACAATAAAGTCATTTTTTGGTGTAAAATGTGGTTAGTTTTTTGTTGCAAAATGAAGAAATTGAATTCAACTATTGGTACCTTGGGATCCATTTTTGGTTCCTTTCATATTCCCTCACAATTATTATTATTATTACTTTTATTATTATTGTTGTCATTGTTAAACTTGACACTGTTAATAAGCAAAAGGCAGACAAAGTGGTAAATGGAAATAAAATGAAACAAAAAATGAAACTTTGCAACATTATAACATTTTCTTTGCGACAATTTTGTATCTTTTTAAACTCGACTTGATTCTCTTGCATTCATGTTGCTCTATTGTCCCTCTTAATGGTCATTTTCAACAGCTTTGTAATGGTAACAAGTTAATCTGTCAATTATCGGAATCACGTAAGGAATAAGGTTAAAAGAGGAAAAGGCAAATGAAAGATTTCAGTGTAAAGCAGCTGAGGTCGCAAAAATTTTCACATGAAAAATGTCAATGGTCAAGACTTTGATTGGCTGGACTAAATCGAGATGTTTCTTTTTGACAGACAAGGTCGAAAATATGATTGAAAAGTCTCTTTTGCTCTTATAAGATCTTCCAAGATGTTTGTAATACATTTTTAACCTTTCCCTTTGTGAATGATTCAGTGTTAGTCTCATTAAGTTTATTCAAAACCAATTAGATCAATAAAGAGCATTTTGATCTTGACTCTGTTGTGCTTCGCAATATTAAAGTTTATTTTTGAACATTTGACGTTCGATATACACTTCTGCAATCAGCGATAATATGCAATGAAACTTATACTTCTGTCGTTTAATGCTTTTCATGTTGATAACTTGGACTCTTTGGTCTTTGTAAGTCATCTGTAATGTTTGCATTAGGTTTTATTCAATATTGAATATGCTACAACAATTAAAACCTGAAATACTCTGACGCTGCCACAAGCTGAGTAGTTTAGGCGCAACTTAAATTAGTTTCTTCTCTAATTGGCCTTTTATTGTCAAAATTTGAAACGAATTACAAGATTTTACAATTGATTGAAATAATTACTTGTTTATGTGCGAAGTACACAAATTGAACAGCAATTGAATAACTCTGTTTATACCGAAAAAGCATTTCTAGTGTGTTCTGTATATTGCATGGAAAGAAATGTCTTTGAACACACAAAATTGAATGTTGCAAAAGGTGAATTAGAGCAGCAAATAGCACTAAAAATAAGTTGAAAATGAATTGAAAGTAAGACTGTATGTGGTCCAGAAGCAATGAGGAAATGGGTCCGGAAACGGAAAGTTGAAGAGAAAAACTTTGAGGCTTCTCAACATGCATGGTTTCATTTTGTTTCAAAATGTTGAGCCATTTCACTTGGAAAACATTCACATGCATTCAGAATTGAAAATGCGCTTAGCTTTCAACTAGATTGCTGTTCAACCAAATTGACTTGAAATAATCGTTAGAAAGGAAGACGCCTTTGCTCTTTTCAAAAGTGAAAGCGAAACTTTCACAGCTTCTGCTACCTTTGAACCAAAATAGTTGATCAAATAAGGTGAACCATAAAAGTCAATG